ACCTAGTGATTCTTTTCCGAGGATAGAAAATGCCAGAAATGACAGGATGTCTGTTCTAAGACTGGGTTCGTCCTTCAGGCATCCTCTTACTTTCTCGCCTGCTTGCTCTGAAGGATGGCGGCCACCATGCTGCAAGCTGCCCTACAGAGGGGCCCAGTGGTGAGGCAGGAACCTGAGGCTGCCAGTTGCCACACGAGTGAACTTGAAGTAGCTGCTCTTCCTGCTAGGCTTCTGCAGCTCAGCCACAGCCTCACACACACCCCATGTCCTGAACTGCACCTCATTTCTCAGCCACAGATACTCAGAAAGTAAATATTGGTTGTTTTACTCCAGTATGTTTTGGGATAATTTGTTATGCAGCAATAGACACTAAAGCTTTGTTTGCAAATACCCATGCCTCAAATATACACAATAGGGCTTGAAAGAACCTACAAAAATTTTAGTAGCAATTAAGTCTGGACATGGAAATAGAAAAAGAATATAAAGATACACTCTCTCTTAAGTGTTGCTTGAATCTTTTACAGCAAGAATGCATTTATATATCACTGGTGCTCTTTTAATTCTAAAAATACAAATAAAAGTTGAAGTTATGACAAGAGGCCTAGTTGTTTTAAAAACAGTAAAAGACATTTTGAAAAATGATGACAATAAAAATCCTTTTTTATGTTTTTAAATACTTAAATAATTTCACTGTCTCTCTCTGACTCTCTCTGTCTCCGTCTCTCTCTGGACTGGGGCCTGAACCTGGGACACTCTACCGCTGAGCCATATCCTAGCCCCTTTTATAAATGTAGTCTTTTTAGTTTGAGACAAGGTCTTGCTAAATTGTTCAGGTTGGACCTGAACTTGCAAATCTCTTGTCTCAGCTTCCCAAGTATTGGAGTTACAGAGGTGCTCCATAGCCAGCTTTAAACTATGTATTTTTGTTTCCAGTACTGGGAATTGAACCCAGGGCCTTCATAATGAGCTATATTCCCAGCCCTTTTTTCTTATTTCATTTTTAATTTTGAGACATGGTCTAAGCTGCTAAATTGCCTGAGTTGAGCTAGAACTTGCGATCCCCCTACCTCAGCCTCTTACAGTGCTGCGATTATAGGGATGCACCACCATGCTGGCTCAAATATATTTATTTATTTATTTATTTATTTATTCATTCATTGGTACTGGGGATCGAACTCGTATCCTTGCACTTGTGCAGCAGGCGGCAAAACCACTGAGCTAAATCCCCGGCCCAAAATATACTTTTTTAAAGGAAGAAAGGGAAGAAGGAAGGAAAGAAAGAAGAGACAGTGGAAGGCCTTTATGGGTCCACACAGCCACCCCTGAGGTATGCAGCTAAGGTTACATACAGTTTTTACTGCTCTTATTATACTCATCTCTGTATTCGGAAGGCAGGAGGCCAGCTGGGATAACTGCATGTGGTCCCCTAGCCAGTCAGGAACCCAACCAGGCACAGGACAGTGCCCCCAACTCCTAGCCTATGATTTCCATGGGGATTCTGCCATCCATCATGACTCTATGGAGAGCAGGCAGCACCCCAAGCCTTTGTCCATCAGAGCAGTTATGCAGATGGAGCTCAGATAGAGAGAGGAGTCGGGAAGGAATTTCCAGGCCTTCTCTCAGCACATGCTCCTCCCCAGCTCATGGAGAAATGCAGCCTATGCAGAGGGTCACACTAGACAGAGTGACACAAAACAGGGCTTCCACAGGGCAGGCTGCAAGCTGTGTAAGTATGGTCTGGCTTTCCTGTTGAACTGTCCCCTGGTGCCTTAAGGCTTCAGGGCAGTAGTGCTCATGTAAGTATGGGAGCATGGGCAAAAGACAAACGGGGCTGGGGTGGGCCACGTCTCCCTGTGATAACCCCCTATCTGCTTTACTTATATTTTCGGTGGGCTGCACTATTCCTGGAGACACTGCAATACCAGATCTATGCACGGAGTGGACAGAGCAGGTTTCTGTTATCTTCCTGCTCCAAAAATCCATTTCATATAGTGTCGTCAGAGAGAAGACAAATCAGGTATTTATCTAGTAAGACCAGACACTCCACTTGACCTTAGCCAAGAGGCTGAGAAGCTACCCCATATTCTATTTAGAGAAGGAAATGGCAATCATAAGGTGCAGGCATCTTTCCCTCCAGGGGCACCAACTCCCACTGTCAGCTGAGAAATACAACCTAGGGGGAAACAGGTCCCAGAGAACCTACTGTCCAGGTGACAGGACCATGAAGAGGGCAGGACTGCAAAAGTCAAGGATGCAAAGGGCTCAGATGCCCCAAAAACTTTGGATGCAAACATGTAGACCCTGGAACTCAATTTCTAGATGTTTAACTGTGGCTGAGATGCTCAGACAGACCCAGTGATGAGTCTGGAGAGGCTCAGACAGGGCAAGTGCTAGAATCTCAGACAAGAGTAAGGAATGAGACATGCTGCCTGCTCCTATGGTGCCAGGTTTTTGTCCTTGATTAAGGAGGTCAGTTACCCAACAATTGTGTGAGCACTGTCCCAGGGCCTGGTCCCTCCATGGCCAAGGGAAGGAAAGGATCACCCTGAGAACAAAGGCTGGCCCCACACAAGTCGCTGGCTGGAAGCTCTTGTACACATTGCCCAATCTATCCAGTTCCCCATTTCCTTGCCAGTCATTTGACACTGGCTCATACACCACATCATTTGCTTCCATCACATCCAACCCCATATTTGACAGCTCAAGCTCTTGAGAAATGTGTTTTTTCTTAAAGTACTGGAACCTGTTCCCAGGAGTAGGCCTGGCACCAAAACTGCAGCCAGAGGCCAGCAGGCCGAATGGCAGATCTGTACCCAGCACCCTGATCAGAGCCAGGCACAGGGCCAGGCTGCCTAGGACCTGGTGGGTCACCATGTCTTGATCTATTCGTAGTAATCATAGTTGCAGACCCAGGCTTAGATTCAGACAACCAAGGGCCCATGCTAGTCTCTTCTGGCCAGGACTTCTCTCTGCAGCATAAGGGGCTTGCATAACCAAGAAGACTTAAGGTCAGGAAATGGTGGAAGGAGATGAGTACCCAAAGTACTGACCCCAAAGGACGACATCTACTCCATGGCTGTACATGCCACTCAGATACTGACAAACCCAAACTGAGGTGCTTAGGTTTCTCCCGCAGGTTTCAATGACTGTGTCCAACAAGGGACAGACAGTTCCATGTCACTTCCCAGGGAGCCTCAAGTTAACATGACCCCACATCAGCTCTACAGTTTTGCCTCCAGTTCTGTCCTTCCATTGCGATTTGGGTAAATATGTCCCCCGAAGTCCCATGTGTTCTGAAGGTGATTGGATCATGGCGGTGCTATACTCATCCATGGATTAATCTACCAGTGTGTTCTTAGCTGGCTGTGCTGTTAGGAGGTGGGGCCTGTTGGGTATAGGTGGGTCACTGTGTGTGTGACCTGGAAGGGTATTTTCTTGTCCCCAGCTCTGCCCTTCTCTCTTTGGCTCTCATGCTTTCTCTCCACTTCTGGCCACCATGAACTGGGTGAGCAATTTTCCTTTGTCAAGTCCAGGCTCTTTTTGCCTTGGAGCCAGAAAACCATGAACTGAAACCATGAACCAAAATAAACCTTTTCTTCTTCAATTTGTGTGTGTCAGGCACATGATTCCAGGAACCAAAATCTGACTAAAATACCCTCCATCTCAGTGAATGTTTCAGTATCTCCCGAGCTGGATCTGGTCTGTCTGTCCCATAAATTACTCCTCTCCAATATTTTAAAGATATTCTCTTCTTTATTCCTACTGCAGCCATTACCTAATTTCCAATGTGATAATTTTAAGATCCCTTCAGTGGCCAATTTGTCTAAGCTGTCACTTTCTGCTTTACTTATTTTTAAATTTTTCCACCACGTGTATTTATTAACATATTCAATACAAATAATAAAATACTGTTTTAAAATGATACCCACATAATATTATTCCCCAATATGGAGTCTCTTCCACGGTCAGGCTGGACCAGCATGTGCTGGAGCCTCTATTCAAGCCCAATATGTCCCCACTTGCCACACAACGGGCTGCTGCTGGTGTCCCTCAGCACCCTCAGCAGAGCAGACAGGTGACGGAGCAGAGGACGGGATCTGCAATTCCAGGGTCAAGGCTCAAGTGATAATAAACTCTGTGATGTGTGCAACCGACTCATCTCAGAGCCTCAGTTTCCTCCTCAGGGGTAAGGGACACTATCATCCATGTCACAGCCCATGAAGATCAGAAAGCTGTCTAAGGAGACAGCATTCCAGTGTGCTTCCTTCCCCAGAACAAGCTCTGAATGCTGGATCATGAGAGAAAAGTCCCAGTTTGTATCTACTGCTTATTTCACAGCCTAACTCCAAAAATATTTCTTCCTTTCTACTCCAATGTATCTTTTCCTAGACTAGATATTTCTAGACATTTGTAGACTCATTCTGTGTCCCAGCTTGCTGACTATCTTACCAGACGGCTCCTACCTTCTTCCTCCTGTTTCCCTCTCTACAGTCATGGTCACGGTCACTGCCGAGTTTTATTTTTGTGAGTGTTTGTTTGTTTGTTTGTTTTGAGGTCAGATTTCAGTATACAGTACAGGCCAGCTTGAACTTGGTATATAGGTAGGCTCCAGATTCTCCCGCCTCATCCTCCTGCCTCCTCCCTCAGCCTCCCAAGTGCTCAGGTCACAGGTATGCACCACCAGCGTGGCTTGCCTAGAGTTCTTTTTTAAATTTATTTTTATTTTTATTTATTTACTTATTTTTCTAGTACCCGGGATTGAACTCAGGACCTTGTGCTTGCCAGGCAGGTGTGGTGTCACTGAGCTACATTCCAGGCCCTTGCCTAGAGTTCTTAATAGAGGTGCCCAATAAGAAATGACAGATTAACCAGGGCTTGTGTGCTAGCCAGTTCTGGAGCTTACTTTCTAGGTTATAAAAACAGACCAAGATTTGCTGCAAAGAAGAGAAAAAGGAAACATGCAGGAGTGGGGGAAGAGGGGAGGGTAGGGAGCAACTCACCTTTACACTGCAAACCCTGCCGCAAGAGGCCCCAGAGCAAGGAACCACAGTGGTCACAGAAGGTGGGGACCTTGTAGTTGTGGATCCCAAACTTGTGGGGCATGTTGACGCTGAACCGCTGGGAGCCCACCTGTAGGGAGGGAAGACACAGCGTCAGCACCCATCCGGCTCCTCCCAGCTCCTCCTGGCCTGCGGCCTTATCCCAGTGCCTCTTACCCAGCTTCCCCCTCGGAAGGTGCGTGTCACTGTAGGCCCCCGAAGGCCTGGCCTGGCTCTGAAGGCTGCCTAGGAAACAGGGTGAATGCAGCCTCCCTCTAGGCCAAGCTCTCACTCCTGACACTCCTAACTCATGGCCTGCTGCACCAGCACCGGCCAAGCCTGGCCCTGCTGTGCCCTCTCCAGGACTCGACACAATCATGATACACAGCCCATAGTGCGCACCTTGCACTTGGGTCATACCTGGGATGTCACCATGTGTCTTTAAAGCTACTTTGTGCATGGAGGCCTCGCCCAGGGACAGGGGCCTTCGCAGCTCAGGGGGCACAGGACACTGTGAGGCAGCATGAGCCCAGTGCAGTGTTATAGAGACTTTGGTTGTCAGACAGGAGACGGATAATAGAGCGGAGCCTTAGGGATGCTAAGGTACCAGTGTCACCACATGACAGGCACCATCATCTCACCACACACACCACGGGGTAGGACTATTGCGACTCTGGTCACTGCTGAGCAAAGGAAGGCATGTTGAGATTGAGAGACAAGCCTGCAGTTGATGAGAGGCAGGGACAACTTCCTGCCCATGCATCTGAATTCAGAGCTCAGGCCACTGAGCCACTCTACTGCCATTTGCTCATTACATAAAGGTAGCAGAGATAAGGCAGAGGACGGAAGCAGAAGGACGTAGGGCCAGCTCTCCAGGAGTCAGATCTGTGGGCCAGGTTTCCTGGCTTCTTGGGGCCTGGGATTTCTCATCTGGCAAATAACAGTGACTCTCCTGGTCCATATAATGTCACAGGATGGTGAGTCAGAGATGGCAGGGGTGGGTCCACCTGCCTGGGTCTTCTCTGCCCTTCCACAGTGCCACTCTCCGCCTGTGTGCAGTGGAGCAGCCACACGGCTGGGCAGGAAACCAGCACCTGCATGAGGATGGGCTGGGAAGGAGGCTGCTCTCGGACTCCGGGATGAGGGGGAGGGCAGCTGTGCCTTGGCTCCTGCCTGAGTAATGAGCTCCCCATCACCCGCCCTGGGGATGACTGTCCCTTTACCAACCCTGCTCAAGACATGCGGGCTCAATATTGTCCTGCCTGGGTACAAGACGTCCAGGTTTACTGAGAACAACCGGAGCCACACTTCAGCCTGGCAGCTTAGGTATCTCTGCCTTTCTGACCTCTCAGGACAGGTGAGGTCACTGACCACACTGGAGTCCTGCAGTCCTGAAGATGTGAATGGAAGCAGATCTCCCAGGAACAGCCCCGCGGGATACAAACGACAGCCGGAGGTGAAGTTGTCCCAGGTTACCATAAGTTCAGTGTGGGGCTAGGGATTGTTAAGTGACCCTTGTGGGGACCACCAAGGACTCTGAGGTATCAGAACAGGGAGGAGGACAGAGAGCATGGGCCAGAGCCAGAGGGATGGAGAAGACCACACACACTCCTGCTGGAGGAAGATGCAGACATGAAGGGGTGAGTGGAACTCACGGGGAGAACGCAGAGGGGACAAGGGGCAGAAATATAGAATTGTAAGGCTCAAACAAGAATGAAAAGGAGGTGACGTGGAGATGGAGTGTCCCTTGGTTACCACACCTAGAAGTGCCTGTGGGGATGTGAATCTCAGTGTCACACACAGACCCAAGACAGAGCTACCAAGCAGCCAAGTGCTCGTGATGGGAAGGGTGCAGGGAGTGCAGCAGCAGAGCACCCTGCGACAGGATGGAGGGCATCAGAAGCATGGCATTTGGAGCTGGAGGAGTTGGAGGTATGTGTGTAGACTCATGTATGCATGCGGGTCACAGTGAAGGTGGTGCACAAAGGAACGAACCCAAAGGTTGGCTCCCAGCAGGGCAGGAGCACATCCATCACCATGACGGGTCTCAGGCAGCATGAGCTGGTGGCAGGCAAGGACACCAGGACAGGGAATCAACTCCACCAAGAAACCCACAGCCCCCTTCCTCACTGCATGGTTATAGGGCCTTTGGGACATAGGCCAGCTTTGGAAACATACTTCACTGGAGACTCTTCACTCTTCAATTTTCCAGGAAAGATGGGAAGAAGTAGATCATAGATTAAGTAGGTGCTGTGCAGTCCATATCTCAGCCCTCTAACCTGCATGACACTGACTCTGGTGGGACCTTTCCCTCCAAGGAAGTAAAGACAGGCTTTAGAAACCTGCAGAGGTTGCCGGATAACCAGACTTGGGAGATCCTTGCAGGCAGGACTCATGTGTTCTTTGTTTCTGTGGGTCATGGCACAATGCTTGCCATCCAGTCAATGTCCACAGGCAGGAAGTCAGACAGCAGGCGGACTGTCTCTTGCTTTCATTCTCTTGTGAAAGTAATGAAGTCAGGAGACTAGATATGGGCTTGCACTTTTAATCAAGACAGTAGACCTCCTGCAAACAACTGCAGTGCCCAGGGCTCAGCCAGCCCTTCAGGAGCACCAAAGGCTCAGTCTAAGCTTTGCCCCTTGCTGCGTCCCAGAGATGGTATGGAGCCAAAGGAAATAAGAGATGAGAAATGTTTTAGATGCAAAGATACAATGTGGTTAAATTACTTTGAAGAAGTAGGTAGGAAGTCACCTCTCTGGAAGCCAAATGATAAACCCACCTGATTCTAAACCCAGCTGGTTATAAATCCACTCAGCCCCCTCCATTGTAGTGGGCTATGATTATACAGTAGTTTTTAAATCTAGAATTTAAAGTATGCCTTTGAAATCACAGATAACACCACAATTATACCTGCCATCTCCCTAGAAAAGCTTTTTCAATCTGTCAGTGGTACCATCATTCTTCCAATCGCTTATTTAGGAAAAATTTGCCTCCCTGGTTGAATTTTCATACTTCTTTATCCCCAGCAACTTCCCTAAAACTATTCCTCTGCTGGTTTCCAAGACTGACAGAGAACATAGTGTAGTGATCAAGGGCTCAAACTTAAGGATAGACCATCTGGGTTTGTGGTGAGTTTTTGTGTTTTGGCTTTTTGAGATAGGGCCTTGCTATGTAGTTCAGGCCAGCCCTGAACTGACTATGTTACCCAGGCTGGCCGTGAACTTGGCAATACTGCCTCATTCTCCTGAGTTCTGGGATTATAGATACGTAAACCACCTGGGTTTAAATGTGGTTCTTTCATATACTAGCTATGTGAGTTGGGACGAATTAATTTGACGTTTCTGTGTTCCTAGTCTCTCTGTTCGAAAATGAAGATGATAATAACATCTATCTCATTAAGGTGGTTTGGGATTAACTAATATATGTTAAAGTGTTTAGGTCAGGGCAAGGTAAGTGCCCAGTGAAGGCTGCCTATTATTATCAGTGGGGTTATTGCTACCTCTGGAGTATTACTTGGATTGTCCATTCTACTCCATTTCACTATCACCTCCTTAAGGACCAGGTTCCTACCTGTACGTCGTCTTGGTCTCTACTACCTGCATAAACCATGGAGACATCACCCAGCTGCTTCCAGGCTCTGACAAAATAATGAAATAAAAGAACTCATACTTTTTCTCATGGGCTTTGCCTCTGGGACCCAAGTATTCTTAGAATAATACCCACAGGCCCGTGCCAGCAGACCGTGGACAATTACTTTCGTTTTTGATCAGCACAATAAAGATAGTGTCAGGATCGCTGAGAGAGAAGTTTTCTGGGGACCACATTGGAGGCAGTGAAGGGAGGAAATGGAGGAAAAGAAAGCACAAAATCCCAATGCTATACATATTTACCTCATCAGGGGTTTCCTGTTTCTTTAATCCAGCGCACTTCGTGATGATGAGCTCGTGGCACCGCTTGTGGACGACACAAGTGCAAACTGCAAGCAGCAAGAAACTGAATGGTGAGTGACAAGTGCAAAAAGAAAGCTTTCACCCCAAGGCTTAGTCAGTTGTCAGTGGAGGAGTGAGGGGAATCCATGTCTCTCCTGCCGCTGAGCCTGAATTTCATACCCTCCTGAGAGCCCTGTATGCAGCTATTTCTGAGCTTTTTGCCACCAGAGCCCTGAGGGCTCCTACACGTGCTGCAGGAGAATGAAGCAGCTATGCCCAAAGGGCTCTGAAGGGTCTCTTTAGTTCTGAGCGCACCAGTCCTCTGGCTGGCTGTCACCTGCCTCCTTCCCAGGAAGCCTTTTCTAAGATGTCATGTCGTTCCCTATGGTCCTGATCCATCACAGAGCAGCTGATGGGTGAGGGAGAAATGACACAGATGACACTGAAGTTCTTAGGGAATTTTTAGGAAATCTGGCTGTGCCCTCACATGCTAAACTTTCAAAAGTTCCATTTTAATGTGTCCACAAAAAGCGGCCTGTACGTAGGGCAGGATGAGCAACTGGTGGCTGAAGAGGGAAGTGCTATCTGTGTGCACACACACCACACCGAGTCACGAGTCACAGCAACAGCCGGCAGAGCCACCCTGCTCCTCCCAAGGGCAACACAGAGCTGGGAAAGGAGACAGGCCAGCCTCCTCACCGTCACTGTGCAGAGCCTCAGCGTGGCCATCTTGTATTTACCCCCTCCAGTGCCGAACAGTTTAACCTTGAACTGATAGTCAATTAACTAGAAAAAAATAATGTTCCACACCTTCAAGTGAGTCCTGTTGTTGTTGTTATTGTTGTTGTTATTATTATTATTATTATTACTTTGTAGTACTGAGGTAAACTTTTTATTATTACTTTGTAGTACTGAGGTAAACCCGGGGTGTTTTACCACTGAGCTACATTCCCAGGCCTTTTATTTATTTATTCTTTTATTTTGAGATGGTCTTACTAAGTTGGCCAGGCAGGGCTTGAATTTGGGATCCTCCTGCTTCAGCCTCCCTAAGTGTTGCGATTACCAGTGTGTGTCACCACACCTGGCTGAGCTTTAAATATTTTCAGAGTTAACTATTCCACAATAGAGATTAAAAAAAAACAACCCAGAGTCAACAAGAACTGTTCAGTGATCTTGACTAAAATAAGCAGGTGAGAAAATTTCAGGGAGCTGGCAGGGCACAGACCTGCACAGTATAAACAGAACTTCCAAAGAGGCAGTGTATGGTTTCCCTAGGAGAGATTAAAATGCTACCTGCTACTGCTGGTGCAAAAACACTAGAACACTGCGGGGTTGGGAGTCTCCTGTCTGCAAGCCACCTCCAATACACATACATGGAGTACTACAGACAGGGACAAAGCAAGCAGGGTTCCCTTCTTGGAGAGGGAGGATAAACATGCCAACCTTATAGGGCAGCAGTTCCCAACCTTTTGGTACCTGGCCCCAGGCACGAGTCTGGTGGAAGACAATTTTTCCATGAATAGAGTGGGGTTTCAGGATTAGATTCTCTTAAGGAGCGTGTAACCTAGAACCCTCAGATGTGCACTTTACAGGAGGGTTCACGCTCCTGTGAGGATCCAATGCTCTCCTGATCTGATGGGAGGCGGAGCTCAAGTGGTGATGGAGCAACTGGAAACAGCTATAAATACAAATGGAGCTTCACTCACTGCCCTGCTACCTTCCTGCTGTGCAGCTGGCTCCTAACAGGTCCCGGATTGTTACTGGTCCAGGGCCTAAGGGTTAGGGACCCCGGTATAGAGCCTCTAAATGACATTAGATCCAGCACACCTCCCCCAAGTGACAGTGATCTAAACCTGACCATGGGTTTCCAAAGTCTCAATTCACAAAGCACCTCTTACCTTGACATTGGTATCCCTGCTTTCCTATGACTCCCCTGAAAAGAAGAACACAATCCTTTAAGAAAAGGACACACCAAACCACCCCATTCTCCCCGCCCCCAACTCCTTGCTGCACTGAGCCCAGAGAGCCTGTCCAGTACTGCAGCTACCTCCCCTTGCAAGGTGCCTCAAGATGCCTCCTTCAAGAAGGCCACAGGGGCAGTCATGCCAACAGGGCAGCAGTGTACCGGAAAGCTACACATGAGCCTTCCTGCTCTGGACAGGCCCTGGGCAGCTCAACATTCCTGTCCTCATGGATGAAACAGGAACTACTTCCCTCCCAGCCCCAGGATGCACTCTGTGGGCTCTATGACCATGGGGAAGGGCTGCAGCTGGCAGGCATATTCCCTGGGCATCCTAAAGACTGCTAAGAAGTTTATGGTCAGGACTGGGGAGGGAGGGGGGTCAATCTACTGTTTGGGTGAAGAGCAACAGTTGAGGTTCCTTCCATGGCCAGAGAAGAGTTTCTAGGCAAGGCTGGAAGTCAATATGAAAATACATCAGGCCCACCTAGCCTTATGCCTATCCTCAGTGTCCCAACAGAAGCAGGTCAAGGAACTCCCTGCAGTTCCCAGCCCAGTAGGAGGAGCTGGAAGTGATGGGGCCACACCTCAGGAAATCTAGAGCTCAGCTGTGTTCAGCACAGAATTAGAGGAGCCCTCAACCTGTAAGACCAACCACTCAATTCACAATCAAAATGTGGGCAATGGTGGTCAGGCCATGAGAAAGTACTGGGAATGATGCATCTATGGCTGGGCTGGGAGCAGGGGCTGTTTCTGCTTGAGTTGGGTTCTCCCCGAGCTGTGTTGTTTCCCATGTCTATCCCAACCTCAGTAACTTGCTTCATAACACCACAATTGTAAGACAAATGACTCAGAAATCCAGGGGGGCCTCAGAGCCCCATTCACATGGCCCCTTGGTGGGTTCCCAGTGAAACCTGGCCTCACTTGCTCTGCTCTGCTGGACCCAAGTATGTGGGCCACTACTACATCAGCATCAAAGAGCTCAGAGTACCTGCCAGAAAGGCTGGTGGGAGGTCAAGCAAAGTTTAAAGTCTGACCAAGGTGAGGTGGAAACAAGCCTCTAACACCTCCCTGCTAGACAACAGCAAGCGAGCCTCTCTCATTTCTGAGACTGGCACTGTTAGTGGGATGGAGCTCATACTGCATAGTTTGCAGGACAATGGGAAGATTGAATTAGGTATTTCTGGTATTTAAGATAGGACCTGGCATGTGGTGGATATTCCTTAAAATTCCTCCTCCAAGTATAAGACTGGTGCCCTGTGTCCTCTCCACTACGCAGAGGCCTACCATACCTCACTCTGTCAAAATCCCAATCAGGAGAAATGCCATGTCCTCCAGGCAGCTTCCCAGACCATTCTAGATGCTGCTGCCTTCTTGCTCCTCTGAGAACCCAGCATCCAGGCAGAGCACATTTAGAACGCTTACTGAGAACAGCATCCCAGTATTTTCCCCTTTTGTTATGGAAAAGTTCAAATATATACTAGAGTAACTAATATTATAGACCCTCACGGGACCATCATCCTGCTGCACCCAACCATGAATGGCCAACTCCACATCATTACTACCCTCAGCCCATCTCCCCTCCTTCCACAATTATTTTTTTATCAAATTCCAAACATCATGGTTCCTTTAGAAACAATTTAACTCATCTTTCTAAAAGGAAAGGATTCTTTCCCAAAACACAATCATACTATCATTATTGGTGATAAAGTCTTAATTCCTCAGCGACCTGGAAGCATGGTTCCTTCTTTTATTAACCCCCCACCATGTACCCCCCATACCCACACCCACACACTTAACCCCTCTGGAAAAGTCCTCTGCAATCAGAGAAGAAATAAAGTATATTAGCCCTGCTTATTTTCCATATTTCTTCTTTCAACACACAGTGAAGTTTATTTTTATCTGAAATTTGTTATTTTTCAGTTCCAGTGAAAGTTTTAAAATCTGAGAAACTGTTCTACAATCTGCTTTATTAAAGGAAACGCTGGCTGTCATCATCAAATTCTTCAAGGCTTATGCCAGCTCTGTATTGTCATAAAATTCAAGGCAGGCAATACTCTTTCCTTATTAAAATATATCTTCTAAACCTTAGAGTCAGAATACTAAAATGATATCAAAATTATACTCGGAACCACCCTCCAAAGTTCATACTTAATATACATCATACCTAGAATTTTATTAGAGAATTCTCACCTTCGTTTCCAATTGAAATGCAATGATTTTGTCTGGAAGAAACTCATACCTCACCCATTATTAACTTTCACGATAAAATACCCTCTTTTATTTACACCCGTCCATTAACACATTCACAATGGGCCCATAATTTGAATGTCTCGCTGCCAGGCCACTTGAACCACTGGTGGTACATGCATAAATGTCCCAATTGGTGGGTTTTAATTGATATATTAGTACAAAGACCAACGAAAGTGATTAGATCTGTTTGTGCCACCAGTGGTCCAAGCTGCCCCACAGGACTGTCAGGCATGTGCCACTGGGGTTCAAGCCAGCAGGAACATGTTAAGTGAATTCCCCATCTCCTCCTACCCCCATCTCCACCTTTATGCCAGAGAGGCACTAACTAGAGGTTCCCAGGAGGGAGGGGCTTACCAGATGAAATCTCTGCAGTGGGAGCAGTAGGTGGGCTGCCGAAGGTAAGTGGCCATGAACTTGTGGCCATTGACCTGGTGAACCCTGCGCCTGACGGCCCCTTGCCTCTTCCTTGGTCGCATGCGCTCCCTGAACACACGCTCTTCATTGTCTTTAGGGGCTGGGGAAAGACAGAGCAAAGAAGAAAACAGAGTGGGTTAGTGGACCTGAACAATGACGTCCTGCTGCAGGCCACCATGCCCAGGGGTGAGAGGAGTTGGGGCTGAGTGGGAGGCAGCCTGCACGTCCTCAGAGCCCACCCCAATCTGCATTCTGCTCCCAGCAAAGTGGTCCGTCCCTCCCCACACCAGCTTCATGTTCAAGGGCATGGGGGTCAAATGGCTCAAGGTTCAAGGAAGGAAGGAAGAAAGGACAGACGGAAGTCTGAGTCCTGCGACCCTGGGGATATGGTGTTCCTTCACCCTCTGCCTCTGTATGCATCTTCCTCAGTAGATGGACCACACTGCTTCCCGGTCCCCCACAGGAGAGATGGGGTGAACCTCCACTTACTTAGTTGCCTGGCACAGAGCAGTAGCTGTCTAACATGCCTAGCTTCTTCCTCCTTTCTCAGGCCCAGAGCAGGACAACCAAGAACTTTTTACCAAAGGTCAAAAGCAGAAGGAAATGTAACACTGTGAAAGCAGATAGCTTCCCAAGGGTTCCAGACCCACCACCCACTGGAAACAAAAAAGCCTGATTTCTTCCTCCCTGAGACCTCTGAGACTGCCCCAAGCTTGAGATGGCCTTGCAAGAGGACCAAGAGACAACAACAAAAATAGTAGTGATCATTGTTAGAAAGTGTGGATTTGTGTGTGCCCCGATTCATATGTTGGCGCCCTAGCACATTGCAATGGTTATTTGGAAATGGGAGGTAATTAGGTAGGATGAGGTCATGATGGGGGGGCCTCCCATGGTGAAAGAAGCATCCTTATAAGAAAAGAGACCCAAGTGAGCAGCCCTCAGTCACAGGAGCATGCAGTGAGAAGGTAGCCTTTTACAAGGCAGGAAGAGGGTCCTCAAGACCACGCTGGCACCCTGGTGTCGGGCTTCTGGCCTGCAGCATTGTGGGGAGTACACGCCTGTGTTTGCAGCTGTGGGATTTGCCTGTGGCAGCAAGAGCCAAGACTGCAATGAGATAAGGTCTAAGTTGGCTAGGCTGCCTAGTGATCTTCCTGCTTTAGCCTCCCTATTACAGTCTGCTTAGGTTTTCTTTTCAACTGGTGCTTATTATTTCAAAAGCCTCAGATACTAATTATCTTTTGGAAAGAGGAAACTCCCTACTACCCACTCTACCACAAGCCAGGGGTTGACTCACTGACCTAATGTCCACAGGAAAATCCCAGGTGATTTAACAGTAACACAGAGACTTACACATGCATGCACGCACGCATGCATGCACTGCAGAAGCATGGCAATCACCACTCAATTCTGCAATTATAGGTAATTTTTATTTCCCTGTCATGTTTTCATCATATTTAGAATGTTCTACTTCTATAATCAAGAAAAAGATGTGATAAATAAAAATCAAATCTATTCAGTAACCTTTACTTGCTACAAACACAAACTACAAAAATTAGCCCCCTAAAGTGCAGTCTTGGGCACAGTAGGCTAGGAAATGGGAGAGAATTCCTTTTGTAAAAAGCATCCTTCATTTTTTCACAGAGCTTACTACAGAATACATTTACACACCAAGTCAGGTCCTAATGCATTTAAGATGTAATCTGATTTAGAAATTTATTAGTCATTTACATCCTGGAACACTCTATTTTCAGTTAAGATGGTGGTGAGTCCCATCTAATTCTCTCTAAGGAAAGCTGCCATAACATAACTGAATAGCCTTCCCTTGAGAGCTTTTTTTTTGAATACTGGGGATTGAACCTAGAGCTTTCCCATTGAGCTATACATCCTAGCCCTTTTCTTTCTTTCTTTCTTTTTCTTTCTTTCTTTTTTTCTTTTCTTTCTTCCTTTCCTGTCCTTTCCTTTCCTTCCCCCCTCCCTCTCTCTTTCTTTCTTTCTTTCAATGTTTTGAGACAGGGTCTGGCTAAGTCACTAAGTTGCCCAGGCTGGGTTTACACTTGCAATCCTCCTGCCTCAGCCTCTAAGAATGCTGGGATTACAGGTTTGCACCACTTTGCAGAGCTCCTATTTCTCAAGTGTTTACAGAAATCAGCAATGAAACCAAATGCTCTAAGCTGTGTATGCACTGATGGAAGAGGGCAATATGGTGAATATTGAACTCAACTGGATTCTTGTCAGGACCTCTTGGTGGCAGCTGACAGCTGGAGGGAAGCCGTGTAAAGGGGTGGGGGCCACCTCCTGAAGGTTAGGCAGAGAGCCAAGGGTAACCCCCCTAAGAGTGGACTACTCAGAGGGCCTCTTCTTCCAACCACAGAGCACATCTGTATTCCTTCTAAGTCAAAGACATGGGGAAGGAAACAGATGGCAACAGAAGCAGAAAAACACAGGTAAACTTTATGCTTCAAATGAGTCCATATGGGAAGCAACATGCAGGAAACAGGAGAAAGAACTGTTGAGAACATCCTAATTCCACATTCCTCTGGACAAAGAAGCCAAGGGTCAGGCCAGAGCACCCTCCGCCCTGTCACTCACAGGCAGGGAAAGAAGCAGCCTACACAACACACACATGAAGAGAGAAGCCACAAGGTTCCTCTGCTATCCCCTCCCCAGGACCTCCCTGCTGGGCCCTGGAATCCACCACCAGCAATGGATCTCTGCAACACTTCTAACTAATATGAAGGGTCACTTCCATGCAGCTCCCACATATGTGTGGGTCTATTTTTGGGCTCTCTATTCTGATCTATAAGTCTGTACATCTGTTTTTTATGCAAGAACCATACAGTTTTAATTATTGAAGCTTTGTAATATATTTTGAAATCAGAAAGTATGATGTCTCCATTTTTTGTTCTTCTTGTTCAAAACTGCTTAGGTATTCAGACTTTTGGGCGGGGGGGGGGGCTACCAGGGGTTGAACTCGGGACCTTGTGCTTGCAAAGCAGGTGGTGGAAGCAAGGTATTCAGACTTTTATGGTGCTATATGAATTTTAGGATTTTTTTTTCTGTTTCTCTGGGGGAAAAAAAAATCCATTGGCATTTTTATAAGAGTCACACTGAATCTGAAGATCACTTTGAGAAGTATGGGCATTTTTATATAGTTTTTCTAAACCATGAAAAGCCAACTGATGCCAGGCATGGTGGCACATGCCTGTAGTCCCAGTACTCAGGAAGCTGAGGCAGGGGGTATTCTTGGTTCCAAGCCAGTCTGGGTAACATACTGGGTTCAAAGCAAGCTTGGACTACATAGCAAGTCTCAAACAAAAACAACAAACCCAATACAAACTTACAAAGGGGAAATTATGGTCTCTTTAATAAATAGTATTGGGGAAACTGGATGTCTACATGCAAAAAAGTAAAACTGAATGCCAATCTTCTGCTATGTACAAACATCAACTCAAAATGGGCTAAAGACTTAAAGTAAGACCTAAAGTCATAAAAGCTTCTAGAAAACACGGGGAAAAGCTTCTTGGTTTTGGCCTTGACAATGATTTCTTGAATCTGACACCAAAAAAATAACAAAAGCAAAAACAGACAATTGGAGCTATATCAAAATAAAAATCTTTTCACAGTAAAGAAAACCATCAACAGGATGAAAAGCAATATATGTGGAATGGGAGAAAATATTTGCAAACTATATTTCTGACAAAGGGTTAATATCTAAAATGTATAAAGAACTTCTAGAAAATAACAAACAAAGAAATTATCCAATTTACAAAGATGCAGAAGAACTGAAAAGGCATTTCTCCAAAAAAACATACAAATGGTGGGTAGGCAGTATATGAAAAGATGATCAACATCAATAATTATAAGAAAAATATACATAAAACTACAATGAGATCTCACTTCGGGCCTATTAGGTTGGCTACCATACAAGGAAACAAAAATTAAGTGTTAGCAAGGAGGACAACAAAACGAAACACTTAATACTATTGGTGAGACTGGAAATTGAACCAGCTGCTATGAAAAGTATAGAGGTCCCTCAAAAAATTAAAAACAGAATTTCTATATGATCCAACATGCCAAGTTCTGGATATATGTCTAAAGGAATAAAAATCAGACTATTGAAGAGATATCTGCACTCCCTTGTTCTTTGCAGCTTGATTCATAACAGCCAAGGGACAGAAACAACCTAAATGTGCACTGATGGATGAATGGATAAGGGAAGTGTAAATATATAAGTAGTGTGTTACTTAGCTAAAAAATAAGGAAATATTGCCACTTGACTCAACCAACATGAACACAGAGGACACTGTGCTAAGTAAAAAAGCCAGTCACAGGACAGATTCTACATGATACTGCTTATACAAGAAATCTAAAATAGTCAAACTCAAAAAAGCAGAGTAGAATGGTGGCTGCCAGAGCATGGGGGTAAGGACAGTCAGGGTAGTATCAGTCAAAGGGCACTAAGTTCCAGTTATTCAAGATGAACTAATCAGTTCTAGAGATCTACTGTATAGCATAGTCCAAATAATCCACAATACTGTATTGTATACCTGAAAATTTGCTAAGAGGGTGTGTATTGTGTTACCATAAAAATAAATGAATTAGATGAAAATAAAGTACAGTTCCCATGATAGTGATAACATATTGTATGAATAGAATGTAAGCATGAGGGAACAGGAATATAAATGTGTGTGTATACACATGCACACATGCATTTCATTACACATCAAATATATATATACTTTATGTAATACTGCATGCTGATCTATAATACAGCATATATTATTACATATATTATACATTATATATAGTTTGCTGAACCATTTCGCCCCTAAATACTTCAATTTTTATTACCTAAGAACAAAACTATTCTCTTATCTTTGTCCTACATAAGCACAATATCAGAATTAAGATATTTAACACTGATATGACATCACATCATATACAGTTTTCCAACTGTCTGCCAAATATCCTTTATGTAGTTTTCTTAAGATTTTAATCCAAGAGTTAAACAGAGCTCTTAGATTTGGTTGCTAGACCCACATTTCAGTGTACGTGCTACAGAAGTGAACATGAGATTCGCATTTCTTTAGAACAGTTTCT